CTTGCAACCTTACAGCTCATACCACCCCAATTCCTGCACCTTTGCCCTTCAGCTCACCCAATTCCTGCACCTCCAGACCTCAGATCAGCCCCAATTCCTGTTCCTTCAGGCCTTAGATTAGTCCAGATTCCTGCATTTTCCCATCTCAGATCACCCAAATACCTGCACCTTTACACCTCTGATCATCTCCAATTCCTGCACCGTTACAGCTCATATCACCCCAATTACTGCACCTTCACACTTCATCTCACCCCAAATCCTTCACAGCTCAGATTACCTCCATTCCTGCATCTTCACACCTCTTATCACCTAATTAATGCACATTCACACACTCCTCAGATCACCCCAATTCCTGAATTTTTACAACCTTGACCAGCCACAATTCCTGTTCCTTCAGGCCTCAGATTAGTCCTGATTCCTGCATTTTCCCATCTCAGATCACCCAAATACCTGCACCTTTACACCTCTGATCATCTCCAATTCCTGCACCCTTACAGCTCATATCACCCCCATTACTGCACCTTCAGACTTCATCTCACCCTAAATCCTGCACTTTCACAGCTCAGATCACCTCCATTCCTGCATCTTCACACCTCTGATCACCTAATTAATGTACTTTCACACCTCAGCCCACCCCAATTCCTGCACTTGTTACTCATAAAGGATTGTTGTGAAAGGGGTTCATTTGAAGATAAATCTCTCTGGCTATATCCCCTCCAAGCTGAGCCAGGGGCATGGATGGTGAGGGAGAGAAATGTTTGGAGGGAGGGCAGGTACACCGATAGTAAAAGCCTGGCCATGAGGTGGCTCAGGCTAAAAAAAGATTGCTGTACCGCAGAGGAGGAAAAATACTGAATATAATTATACTTTCAAAGTGAGAACAAGCAGCCTGGAGAACCGGACTCAACACAGCTTCAGTGTGGAGAAAGCAATGTAGGAACCAAACCCACAGGAAAGGAGGGGGGTGAGGACCAGCCGCGTTGCTTCTTCTGTATGCAGCCACTGGCCAGCTTTATTGTATGGGAGGTGGGTCTTCCAGGACTCCCCTTGGGTGCTGTCCTTGATGCTGTCACCTGCCACCTCCGGCACTAGTGTTGGAGGTTGCCGACCCCTGGCCTAAAGTGTATCTAAACCCAAAAACAAACATTTTATATATTTAAGCTTACCAGTTGATGTGCTGGCTGCATTTTTTTAAACTTTTTTCCTTTTCTTTCCACCTGGTGACTGGGCAAGTAAAACATTTCTTGTCTTAGGGTCTCCACTCTATGAAGGAGCAATGGAGCCACCCTTGAACAGTGGCACTGTCAATCTGGGGGGAGAGTAGTTTAAAATGTACTAGCAGATTAACCTCCCTAGCGGTCTGATTATTTCAGATTTTTGGTGCTGAAAGCGGTACCATTTTTTTGCATGGAAATATGTATTTTTTTTATTGTAAGCCTGTAATTTAGGAATAACTCCCTGAAATCTGTCCGAACAAGAGTCTAGTAAACATCCCAGGTAGGATAAAACTTGAAACACGAAATCATAAATTATAATTTAATAAATACTCATAAAAAATAATAATATAATAATAATACATTTAATTCAATAATATAATCAAACCAAAAACACTGAAATTTGAAATATAGCGCCAAGTTCGCACATCACTGAGCAAAGTCGCAAAATCGTTTTCAGTGTCTGATGACACATTTCCCCACGAATCATTATTAGTCAATTCTGCAAGTGGTTCTGATTTACTATCGCTGTTCTCTAGCCGGTCTAAAACCGCTTTTGACCTAAAGGGACGCTTTTTGGACGCCATGGACTTTTCTAAGTTTCCAGGCAGAAAGAACAGTCAAAATGCAGGCAGGGCACAGGACAAAGCAGTAGGGACAAAATGTATGTGAAATGCTTTGATACAGGAATGTTTTTGCTATGAAATAATCCTTTTAAAAAAAAATTTCATTTTTTTAAACTTTTCAAATTTGCCGCCGGTTCCGGCGCCCCATACGTCCCGACGTCACAGGGACCAGAACACGGAAGCCAGATGCCGCCATCGGCCGGAGGAGATGGCTGGGGGCGCTGCAGGGGACGCATCGCGGGAGCGAAGGACAAAGTAAGCGCTGCAGGGACTCCCTGAGCAACGCCGCATGGTAAGCCCGAGTGTAGCTCGGGGTTACCGCTTTTGCTACTGAAACTTTACCCCGAGCTACACTCGGGAATACCGCCAGGGAGGTTAAGAGAGTAGTTTTAGATGTACTAGCAGATTAAGAGAGTTTTAGATGTTTTACTAGAGAGTGTAGATGTAGCAGTACTAGGAGAGTAGTTTTAGATGTTCTAGCACATTTAGGTGGATTTGATTAACAAATTAACGCCAAAATCTACCTAAATCTTTTTTTTGCAGTTACAACAACAGTTGTGTTTTTTTTTTCTAACGGGATAAAGGTTTTACATAAATGAATAAAATTTAAACATTGTAAGCACCCCTGTCAGTGGTAAATGGTTTTTTCTTCAACCCTTTAAGTGACACTTTTTCAGTTACAGCTTGTTCTGTTAAAGGAAGTTGAATAATAACAAATGTACTGGTCTGATAAAAGAAAATAAAGGAAAACTACTGCAGCCACCACATTTAAAAGAGAAGTGGGGTTTTGTTTTTTTCTCCCAGTTATACTTACAATCGAGCAAATTTCCTTCCTGCAACCACTAAATTTGCACCGTCTATGTCCTTGCTCTATATTGATGGTACAGTTGGCCTTTAAATAATAATGTTATCCTTTGGCCAGTACATACAATTACAGCTTACAGAAAACTAAACACACTGGCAATCAGTAGAAGAAAATAGATTGTGCAAACATGTCAGCTGCTCTCCTTCCCACAAGTTCCAGCAGCAGGACATACATTTCAAGTGAGCTTTTAACTGTGCTTATGCAAGTACAAATATACTTTATTTTGTGCTGTACAACTGGAAAATATGAGGGTGGGGGGGGGGGGGCATAAGTTGGTGAAATATCTTATACTGGGATTTGTAGTAGTACAGAGCAACACACCATGGCAATTCATAAAGACTTCCCTGCCCACTGTAACCATTTCTCTTGCATTTGGTCTAAAGACAAACATGGATTGTAAGGGGCTTGGTTTTCATATCAAACACATAGGATTGATAGCCATGGATCTGTCCATTTTTCAGTGTATAAAATTATTCTTAAAAATTTCCAATTAAAGTAAATATATATCTATTAATCTTTTTGTTAAAGTTTGTATATTATTAAATATATAAACGTCAAAGTGAACTACCATAAAATGATGTTAAACCCATGTTCATGCTATGGTAACAGAAACTCTTTATGTTTGATCGTGTTTTTAGGTCAGAGTACCACTTTCTTGTATCCACTGCTGTCATTTTTCAGTGCTGTGCCTTCGGTATGGTCCCATGCGGGGCTGGTGCTTCCACTAGGCAAACTAGGCAGCCGCCTAGGGCGCATTGACACCTAGGGGGCGCCTTGGCACAGCACAGGCCAGTACTCTCTTTGTGTGGGATGCTGCCACATCATGAATTATCCTTTAGTTGAGGGGAGGGATGGCAGATGGGAGGAAGAAAGGACAGAGGAAGATGCCAGGTGGCTGGGGCCAGTGTAGCAGCTGAGCTGCCACTCCTTTGAGTGTTCCTCTCAGACTCGGTTCCTTATAAAAGCCAGCTGGTGGCTGCTGATCAGTGGGGAGTTCCAGCCCTTCTCTTCCCATACATCAGCGGAGGTGGAGATGTGCTTGGAGAGGAAGATAATGTCTGACTCTGATGTTTCGTGTCTGTGTGAGTGTGACCTGGCCGGCCATCCATCACATGTGCAATGAGTCAATGAGTGATGACATCATCACAATCCCACAGCCTGCTCTTCTTCTAGTGCCTGCTGGGCCTGCTGATCTGTGTCAGTGTTGATGGTTGTGTCGGATCTGTCACTGTGTATGATCGCTCAGTTCAGGTGTTCTGTGTGTGTGCGTGCACTGGGCTGCAGCTGCTGTCACAGCGTTTTATCTCCCCCATTACCTGGGGAGTTTGTGTCAGAGCTATCCTATGGAACTTATTTTTGCAAATTTAAAGAAATTTTGCAGTTTATAAAAATTTAAAAAAATTTTTTTTTTTGGGGGGGGGGGCACAAGTAGCTGGTGTTGCCTATTGTGCAAAATATCTAAATAGCTCTGCTATATAAGTAACTGTAATAAATTAATAATTATTTACTGCTGCTGAATATCCAGAGATGTTTATTAATCATTTTCCTGCAACCAGTACTCAAAGTCAAATGTCCACATATCTCGTAGATCAGTCTGTTCACTCACAGTGAATTTTAACCACTTCCAGACCAGACACTTTCCCCCCCCCCCCCCCCCCCCCCCCCCCCCCCTTCCCTGACCAGGGCAATTTTCAGCTTTTAGCGCTATCACACTTTGAATGACAATTGCGCGGTCATGCAACACTGTACCCAAATGAATTTTTTACCATTTTTTTGAGACAGATAAAGCCTCATTTTGGTGGTATTTATTCACCACTGGGATTTGTATTTTTTTTGCTATGTAAATGAAAATGTCCAAAAATTTTGAAAAAAAACAGTGTTTTTTTTATAAAAATTTTGCAAATAAATAATATTTCATCATAAATCTTAGCCAAAATTTATTCCATTATCTTTTTAGTAAAAAAAAAAATCCATATTAGTTTATAAGCAAAAATTATAATTTTTAAACATTTTTTTATTTTATTTTTTTATATTATTTTTTTTTTTTTTTTTTTTTTTTTTTTACATACTGTCACCCTAGCAGTACAGTGTCACCATGGTGACACTGTACTACTTGTGGGGGGGTGATGAAGATTTTTTTTTTTTTTTTTTTACACTGATTGCTTTTACACCCATATAGGATGTAAAAGCAATCATTTCTCTTTCTCTCTGGCTGCATTCTTGCACTCATTGAGATACTGAGTGAGCTGTGATTGGTCACAGCTTGTCACATGGTTTTTGTGAATAGCCTTGTACCATGTGACCTCTGTGATCATTCACAGATTTCACACGTAGTAAGCAATGATGTCACAAGTGACATCTTTTCTTACTACTTTGCATGTGATCACTGATTGGCCAATCAGTGATCACATGATTGGGACCTTGTACAGAGGTCCCGTCCAACGATCGGTGTTTCACTGTGTCCGGAGGACACAGTGGGCACAGGATCGCGGTGCTGCGCGCTCCCAAGGAGCGCGCACAGCTAGAAAAAGGTGGGTGCCGTTTATGAACGACAACCCCGCCCTGCACTGCCACCGCCCTGCCGTTTATAAACAGCAGGCGGACGGCAAGAGGTTAAAAAGAGTCACACAAGAGGACACAGCGGGCACCGGATCGCGGTGCTGCGCGCTCCCAGGGAGCGCGCACAAGCATCCGGGGAGGCCGTTTATAGACGGCCACCCGACCCTGCAGTGCCACCGTCCGGCCGTTTATATGCAACGGCCGGACGGGAGGTGGTTAAGGAGGAACGACGCCGGAGCCGAACAGAGGTCTGGCGGCCATCTAGGATATTGGCTGACAAAGCCATAATGTTTTGTTACTGCTGCACGTGCTTTTTATAGTATTTTATTGTCTACACTTCTAAGATTTTGGCAGTACTGTTTTTAGAACATTCAATGCTAATAAATTAAATTTTTGAAAAGTACTACACTATACAAATCTTTTTATATATACTTGGCTTTGAGCCAATTACTCTTGGAGACCCCCAGAGGAGGGAGAGCTGCATGGAAGATTGGTGTCCGAACCTGTGATCCTTGCTCCTGGTTAGCTGTCTGTATCCATTTAAACAGGACCTGACGGAGATTTGATGGTGTAATGCACATGTTCTATGTGCTTCTGGTGAGTGCGTATTTCATAACTAGATGCACGGAGTCATGTCACAGGGATTATTTAATATCTACGCTATTGAAAGTCACCTCTTGAAATTACTGACCTTCTTGAGTCAAGCCTGCACGTTTTTTCACAAATATTAAGACTGTTCTATTTGGTGTAATACATGAGCACTGTGTACATTTTATTGTTCAAGATTTAATTGATTTATGTATGTCATGTTTTAGTGCTGCACTTTTTATATCTACAGTGAATTTACTAACGATAAACAGCTACTGAACCAACTGTATGGCGTTGCAAGGGTGAGGAGTACAAAGAAAAATGCATGGTGCCTACAATAAAACATGTTGGTGGCAGTGTCCTTCTGCGGAGCTCCATGAGTGCTGCTGGTGTCAGGGAGCTGCATTTCATTGATGGTATCTTGAATTCACACATGTACTGCTCTATATTGAAGAAGAATATGCTACCGTCACTCCATGCCCTTGGTCATCATGCACTTTTTCAGCATGACAATGATCCAAAACACATCTAAGGCCACTGTTGCATTTCTGAAGAAGAGCAGGGTGAAGTGATTCAGTGGCCAAGTATGTCTCCTGATCTGAACCCAATCGAACACTTATGGGGAATTCTGAAGAGACAAGTTGAGCATCACTCTCCATCCAGCATCCAGGCTCTAAAAGAGGTCGTTCTTGAAGAATAGAAAAAGATAGATGTTTCAATATGTCGCCAACTTGTTCATTCCATGCCTAGAAGACTTGGTGCTGTCCTTACAAATCATGGAGGTCATACAAAATACTAGATGTAGTAGTTTTTTTGTTGTGGGGTGGATTCATTTTTGCATCAACTAATTTGAGTAAAACTGAAGATTTTGTAATCTAAATTATGTTATTAACCTTAATTTCATGTAATGAGCTAAACAAATGTTCTATAAAACTCAGTTTTGTCAAAATTTTGTAGCTGTTTCTTGTGTTTATTGAGATATTGATTAAAATCTCACTTTTCAAAAGTGGTGTAATCATTTATGCTGAACACTTCAACATTAACAATACTGGATATTGTAGTTTCAGATGAAAAATGAGAACTGAGGTTTGTATGCTGTGTGACCTGTTTATCCAATGAGGTAATTCTGGGAAATATGGACTGAATTTTGCAAATGTTGTTGCAGTCTTGTAGCAGTGGTTACATGAATACATAGATAGGTTTAAAAAGACACATCAACCCACCTTACATCCTCAAAAACCTGAACCCACAACTTATCCAGAAGACAAAATCCTTCTAGTTTTTGCCTTCTTGTTAAACTATAAAGTGTGGTCCAATTTGCTCTACCAAAAAAAAAATTCTTCCTACTCCCAAAAGGCAATGGGGAAACTCCTTAGATCAGACTTTCTCAACCTTTTTACCCCAGAGGAACCCTTGAAATAATATTCAGCTCATAGATTAGTCTACTGGGGTCATTGGGAACATGCCCCTTACTTTAGTGCTGGTAAGTGGGAAGAATGCCCCCCTTACCAATGTGGCTAGAATGACACCTTGGAGTCATGCCACTGGCTCTGCCATGTGGAGTTGGGGTTGAATCTATGCAAGCACAATCAGAAAGGAGGTCAGTCACAGCTCAAGGAACCTCTAGCCACCCCTGGAGCAACCCTTGCTGAGACTGGATGCCTTAGATCAACATCACACAATGTTATAAGTAGTCATTTATTTCTACAATAACTAGTTTAGTTTAGACACACATCCAGCCCTTTTTTTTTGTGGCAATCTGATGATCTACGTAATAGTCTCAGTACTCAGGACTTTATATCAGTCATCATGCACACCAGTATGTGACTGGACTCTTCTGTACACAACCATTGACTCACAGGATGAAAAAAGAATCTGCTGATTACTTCTCTGTCAAAATCATAGGAAGGGGATAGAAGGGGCCATATGCACTTCAATGTATTTATTTTCTTATAGATTTTTACTCTACTTACTCAAATAAAAAAAATGATGTTTTTTCAAGAGGCAAACAGAAATGTTACATGTTTCCACACGGTTTCATGCAAGCCAAGAATTTAAATACATTTATTTCAATAAAATGCATTGAATTGAACTCAATCAAATCAGAAAGTCTTTAGCTTGAACTAAGTTTAATGCTATAAAAAGAACACAAGAGATTCCATTGATCAAATTGTTATATGGATAGCAATGGATGCAAGAACTACAGATTGGCAAAAAAAAAAAAGACAACCGGAGAAGACTCATTGACAGGTGATTTGATCTCTAAGGAGGTTTCGCTTGAAAGTACAGCCTTTCTCAAGCAGGCACAGCTTATTGTGCATCTGACTTGGAGCGCTGCATACCTGAATATAATGCAATGGAGGAGATTAAAAAGGATCTATGCCACATCCTCCCAAACATAATGATGGTGAACAATATGTTGTGTTAATATTTGATGTGCTGTTCCAGTTTCTTGATTTCACAAGTAAGCATGCCAAGACTAAAGCTGACATTTTGTTTCTACTGAGATTACTTTTTTGGGGGAATCTTACTTAAAATGCCCTTTCAGCTCTTTTACTATTTACAACCTTGAAAATGCAGTGCGTTTTCTTACATCAAGGTAATAACTCTTACCTAAGGCATACAAGAGACAACGTAATAATATGCCTTCTTACCGTAGGCTTGAAGGGATGAACTACAGATATTTGGTTTAGATAATTGCTTGTAATACCTATTTCATATATCAGCATACTAAATTACTTGTTTTAAGCAGTAGAAAAATAATATTGATATTAACAACAACAAAAAATAATAATAGCACCATGACATATGTACTTATGTATACTTAGCAAGGAACAATTGCTAAATAAGACAGTTCAGTTGAGGAAAAAATGTTGTACAATTTCTTCTTCTTATAAAAAATAACAATACTATTACTAATAATAATATTTATTATTATTATTATTATTATTATTACAAATAATAATCATGATGATTGATTATTATTATTATTATGCTATATTTTAAACAGATGTAAATTGTTTTATATGTACTTACAATGGAAAAAGATATATATGATACTGCACAGCATATTTATGTTGCACATCACTTCAATTTGACCAATTTCTTATTAAGTGAAGTTAAACTACAATTCATCAAACTTTTTTTTGTACACCCTTCATGTAAAAATGAGCACTAAAAATATGCATGGTTTCTTCTGGATTGCAGTGTACTACTTTTTATGCCAAGTATCAGGTCGAATTATTGTGCATGACAGCATCACTAAGTTGTTTTACTTGTTTGGTTATTTGAAATTATTTGCTTTCGCTGTGCTAAAGATATCCGCAAGTAACAAGTAATTTTTATTTAACTAAAAATCATAAGTGTTATTTTTCAGTGCAGAAAATCATTGTATTGTATGAAAAGAATATGGGTTTAGAGGTTTCAGGTGTGCACAGTATAATTGTCATTAGCAGATACATCCTAAAGTACTAGAAACTGTGGGAATGGAGAGATAACAAGTAAATGACTGATTGATTCATGGCCCCCAAAGAGAATCCTAGATTGTTCTGAATGGAACTTGAAATATAAACCATGAAGAGATCTGGCTTACCTTTGTCTATTCATGCCATAGAGTCATCCGTATAGAGGATTCTTGCTGTGTCCCATCAGCAGTGTTCAGGATGAAGTTAGTCTGTTCTTTGTAGAAGTTTAGCTCATGAGATCAGAGAGGAAAGTGATTGCATCCAATGACCTTCCTAACTTCTGCAAGTCAGCCTTTTCTCCCACACAGCTAGAGATACACACTCAACACTGTGCATATAGTAGACTGATGCAACACACAGCATAAGTTCAACTTCTTCCTCTCTCTCTCTTTCTCAAAATTAGAAACAGGGTAGGCAGAATTATCCCCAACATAAATGCTAGTAACCTGACCTACTGCCTGACCTGCACATATCCAGAGTTAACCTCTTGTGTGCAGTACATGTTGATTCTGTCCAATGGCTAGTCTTAGGATCCAAACCCTGTAACCCACATCATACAGTACAATTCAAGCTCATCACCTGGCCAGCTGTATGTAGTAACTAAAACAACTGTAATTACTTTTTACCTTGGCTTCCAGTTTTTGTTGCCTAAGCACAGTGGCTTAATGTTTAGCACCTCCACCTGGCAGTACTAGGGTTGTTGGTTCAAATCCCAACCATGGCACCACCTGCCTGGAATTTGTATGTTCTCCCTGTGCCTGCATTGGTTTTCTCTAGGTACTCCGGTTTCCTCCCACACTTCAAAGACATGCTACTAGGTTAATTGGATCCTGTCTAAATTGGCCCTAGTATATGAATGTAAGTTAGGGACCTTAG